AAGTTATCCATTTCTTCTAGGTTGTCTAGTATGTTAGCATGTAATTTTTCATAGTATTCTCTAATAATTCTTTGTATTTCTGTGGTTTCTGTAGTGATTTTTCCTTCCTCATTTCTGATTCTGTTTATGTGTGTAGACTCTCTTTTTTCTTGATAAGTCTGGCTAAGGGTTTATCTATTTTTGTTTATTTTCTCAAAGACCCAGCTCCTGCTTTCATTGATTCTTTCTATTTTTTTTTATTCTACTCAATTTTATTTATTTATGCTCTAGTCTTCATTATGTCCCTCTGTCTACTGATTTTGGGCCTCATTTGTTCTACTTTTTCTAGTTTCAGTAATTGTGAGGTTCGAGTGTTCATATAGGATTGTTATTCTTTCCTGAGATAGGCCTATATTGCAATATATTTCCCTCTTAGCACGGCCTTTGCTGTGTCCCACAGATTTTGCAGTGTTGAATTATTGTCATTTGTCTCCATATATTGCTTGATGTGTGTTTTTATTTGGTCATTGATCCATTGGTTATTTATGAGCATCTTAGGAAACCTCCATGTGTTTGTGGGATTTTTCATTTTCTTTGTGTAGTTTATTTCTAGTTTCATACCTTTGTGGTCTGAGAAACCAGTTGGTACAATTTCAGTCTTTTTGAATTTACGGAGGCTCTTTTTGTCACCTAGTATTTGATCTATTCTTGAAAATGTTCCTTATGCACTTGATAAGAATGTGTATCCTGTTGCTTTTGGGTGTAGAGTTCTGTAGGTGTCTTTTAGGTCCATCTGTTCTAATGTGTTGTTTATTGCCTCTGTTTCCTTACTCCTTTTCTGTCCGGTTGATCTGTCCTTTGTAGTGAGTGGAGTGTTGTAGTCTACTAGAATGAATGCATTGCATTCTATTTCCCCTTTTAATTCTGTTAGTATTTGTTTCACATATGTAGGTGCTCCTGTGTTTCATAAATATTTATATTGGTTATATCCTCTTGTTATATTGACCTCTTTATCATTATGTAATGTCCTCCTTTGTCTTTTGTGACTTTGTTTGTTTTGAAGTCTATTTTGTCTGATGCAAGTACTGCATCTCCTGCTTTTTTCTCCTTATTAGTTGCATGAAATATCTTTTTCCATCCCTTCCCTTTTAGTCTGTGTATGTCTTTGGGTTTAATGTGAGTCTCTTGTAGACAGCTTATAGATGGGTCTTGTTTTTTTGTACGTTCAGTGAGTCTATGTCTTTTGATTGGCGCTTTCAGACCATTTACATTTAGGGTGATTATTTATAGGTACATCCTTATTACCATTGCAGGCTTTAGATTTTTGGTTACCAAATGTTCAAGGGTAACTGCCTTACTATCTAAGAGTCTAACTTAACTCAGTATGCTATTACAAATGCAATCTAAAGGTTTTTTTTCCTCCTTCTTTTTCTTCCTCCTCCATTCTTTATAGATTAGGTATCATATTCTGTACACTTTATCTATCCCTTGATAGACTTTGGCAGCAGTTGATTTAATTTTGGTCTTTGTAATTAACTGTTCTACTTTCTTTACTATGGTTTTACTACATCTGATAAAGCTATTAAACCTTAGGGACACTTCCATCTAGAGTAGTCCATCCAAAATACACTGTAGATATGGTTTGTGGGAGGTAAATTCTCTCAACTTTTGCTTATCTGGAAATTGTTTAATCCCTCCTTCAAATTTAAATGATAATCTTGCTAGGTATAGTATTCTTGGTTCAAGGCCCTTCTGTTTCATTGCAATAAATACTTCATGCCACTCCCTTCTGGCCTGTAAGGTTTCTGCTGAGAAGTCTGATGTTAGCCTAATGGGCCTTCTGTTGTATGTGATCTTATTTCTTTCACTCGCTGCTTGTAATAGTCTGCCATTATCTTTGATCTTTGCCATTTTAATTATTATGTGTCTTGGTGTTGTCTTCCTTGGGTACTTTGTGTTGGGAGTTCTCTGTATCTCCATGGCCTGAGAGACCATCTTTTCTCTAGATTGGGAAAGTTTTTAGCAGTTACCTTCCCAAAGACATTTTCTATCCCTTTTCCTCTCTCTACCCCTATAATGCAAATACTGTTCCATTTGGATTGTTCACACAGTTCTCTCAATATTGTTTCATTCTCAGTGATCCTTTTTTCTCTCTGTGCCTTGGCCTCTTTATATTCCTCATCACAAAATTCTATTCCATTTACTCTTCTTCTACATCTAATCTGCTTTTAAGTCTCTCCATTGTATGTTTCTTTTCAGATATGCAATTTCTTAATGATTATATCTCCATCCTCAATTTGTCCCTCAGTTCTTGAATATTTTTTTGTACCTCCATGAGTGAGCATGGTTATGATTTTTAGTTTGAACTGTCTTTCAGGAAGATTAAGTCTAGTTTTACTTGGCCTTTTCTCTGGTGTTTGTGAGATTTTGGATTGAACCAGGTTCCTTTGTCATTTCATATTTGTATATGGTGCCCTCTAGTGCCCAGAAGCTCTAGTCTCTGGAGCTGCTCAGCTCCTGAAGTGATGTAGGGTTTCTCAGGGGAGCAGTGCTGGTACCTGTCAGTAGGTAAGAGCTGTTTCCTTCTTCCTGGCTGCAGTGCCTGTCTCCACTGACAGATCCAGTGGGCCAAGTAAACAGGTGTAATTCTCTGTGCTTTGCACTTGTAGCTGCCATAAGCAGGCCCTTCCTTTCGCTGGCCTGACACCAGGGCAGGGACTACTGGTTTGTGAGCTAGTGCCAGTAGGCCAGGAGGAAGGCGCAGCTTGCTGTGTATCACAGTGGAGGGCCTCAGAGCTGAGTAGCCAGCCAGGGGGATGAAGAACCTGAAACTCCTGAAAGTTCCCAACCTGCTGGGCAGAGCACCTCCAAACAACCTTGTCCACCTAGCAGCAAGCTCCATGCAGTCCCCTCCCCTTTAGCATCTCTCTTGCTGCTGTGAAGCCTCTCAGACTTCCTGCCTTTCCTTTGTCCCAGAGCAGCCGGATGTGGATCCCTATCCTCCACAAATGGCTGGAATCTGTGTTTCTCCAAGTATTCCACTTGTCTTAGCTTTCCAACCCCACTAATCTCCAGAGCACCATGCAATTTAGGTTTGTGCTCCCAAAGCAGATCTCTAGGACTGGGTGTTCAGCAGTACTAGGTTTCCACCCCCTTCCTGCTCCGTTTCTCTTCCTCCTGCTAGTGTACTGGGGTGGTGCAAGGGCTTGGGTCCTGCCGGATTAAGGCTTTGGTACATGACCCTTGGTGAGGTCTGCTCTGTTCTCCAGGTGTATGCCATCTTGCTCAGCTTTCTTTCCTGTTGCTCTTTTTAGATTAGTTGTATTAACTATTATCGTATTATATGTGGTTTTTGGAGGAGTTCTCTTTCTCCCCTCTCACACTGCCATCTTTTATCTCCTAAAAATAACTTCTTAATCTCAAGACTATTTGTTTTAAATGTTATCCATGCTTGCTACAAAGAATAACTGGGACTTAAGATCTCTTTCATTTTTCCTTTAAGAAAGTTCTTTTAGGTAATGAATGCTACAATTGTCTCCAAGAATCTTTGTGTAGTAGGTGCAGGTGAAGATAGGTTTCTAAAAGGCAAGCACTGGGAAGACTTGCAAGGAAGTAATCCCATTTCCAGACAAGTACAGCTGTAGAAGTAGCAGCCTTTTCCACAGATAAAAAGGCAGTGTTTATTTGTATTTGGCTTAAAAAATATGGCTCATGTTTCTACCATTTCCATTTGTCAGCAACCTTTTTGAAAGCCAAAGTTGATAAAACTTTCTGCTCCTAAAATGTAATGTTGAACTAGATTTCTGTTTATGATGTTTAATCACTACCCAAAGTGCCGTCAGAGGAATTTTCCTTAGGAAAGTAAAAAAAGTCACTAAGACCATGAAGGGTTAGTAGCATTACTTATTCAGGCAGCTGTGTTTCCATAAAACTTGTATAATTTAAGCTTTTACCCCCTTCTTTCCTTCATCAGCTTGAAATACTTTTTTGTCTTTTAATATGTAGTAATCAGTTTTTCAGTATTTAGTCACTTGTCAGTGATATTTAATTGTGAGTTAATCTAAAATTATAGACTAACACCAACCTAATAAAAGCAGATACATGAAATATTTGTACATTCTGATTCTATGATTTGTTTAATATACTTTAGTAGCCGAAATTAGCTGATTGATTTATGTGTATACTTGGTTTCTGAAAAGTGATTTGTGGAGCACCAGAAAAATTGTGATTCCTCACTTTCTTTATTAGCATTTTTGCCTTTTTACTTTTCAGTCTCACATCTTCACTGAACAGACTTTGCTAGATTTTGTTTTGGTTTTCCTGCAACAACTCAGCTATACTTCAAGTCTCATTTCTCTTGCAAAGCCTTTTCTATTTGGTCCAATACAATCTTTTTCCTTTTCTGAAATTCTGTTGCTTTTCTCTTTAACACAATTTCTGTTGTCTTCCAGATTAGATACATTGGCTTTATTTTTTCATCTACTTTCATGGATATTGTCTCCTTTCATCCTTGGACCCTAGAGAAGAAAAGCTAGGCAATATTATTTTCCATTTTACAGATGCAAAAATTACGAATAGATGAATTAATTGATTCCTTCAAGATAAGAACCCAAATCTTCATTCCAATATCTGCTGCCTCAGGTTGTATACTTTACCTGCTATCCCTACCTTATGCTGAACATATACAGGTATTGTCAGCTGATTGAATGTAAATAGATTGTTTCTATTCAAATTCCCAGTCACTGATACCTGTGTCTTTAAAAAAAGCTACAAAGTTAATTAACTGCTTAATTAATTGTGGAGTCTTTTATCACAGTGTTGAAGCCTGAGTTCTTCAAAGGGGCAACATGATATTTGATCAAGATTTGAAATTTGGACTACTGTAATTTTTCTTATTCCTTTATCAGACAAATATCATTGACTGTGCACCATATGCCCAATATTAATGCTAACCCTGGATATGAACAAATGTTGTTTGCATTATTTTCTTAGTAATATTTGGTCTCTTCTTGTCCGTACAGGAGAGATTAAACAGATTCTAGAAAATGAACTTCAGATACCTGTGTCTAAAATGCTGTTGAAAGGCTGGAAGACTGGAGATGTGGAAGACAGTGTGAGTTTCTTAATTGCCTAGAAGTAAAAGAAAATTAAGTTACACAATTGACTAAATTACATATAAAAATTGGTTTTTAGTAATGTTAAATATGACAGAAGTAAATTTGGTAATAGTAACTTAGTTTAAGGAATCAGCAAACAGTGTTTTTCAAGCTAAAGCATTTTCATGGTAAACCAATAGTTTTAAATGAGTTAGGTATGTGAATGAAAACACTGTATGGCAAGTTTTTCCTATTTCTAACTATTATAGCAGTTGCTCTGGCACTCTTTTGAGAGCTTTGTTTTTCTCAAACCTCATAGGGTGTGGGTAAGTACCCTGCAATAATAATTTACTGAACAATTACTGATTGTCCTGAAGGAAGTCATACACAGTATATGTATTTATGCCAAGTATTGATTATGGAACAAAGATAAAAATAGGAAATTTTTTTAAACTTGGAAAATTTAAATGGTAAGAATCTTTCTTTGTTTACTTGGATAGTGGCAGGTGGAGAGAATGAATTATGTTTTAAGAATCTGATATAGTGTTAATATTTTAAGGTAGTAGTTGCTATTCTCAGGGATCCAGTAGGAGTTTCAAGTATAAAATATTTTACACACTTTTTCTGACAGAGTGGGGAGGGTTAGAAAGAAATGGGTTAACTCTAAAGCTTTAGGTGTTTGTGGTGGAAATAACTGTCAAATATTTTCACACTAGTTTCTCAGTTGATATTTCAATATCCATGTATAACTTAGAATCTTCAATTTTTGGTTCAGTTCTTCTTTGTCAGTGGCTCCTGGTAGACATTGTGCTTATGAATACTTCTGTGGGAGTTCATTTGATATATAAAGATGTTCTGAGTATTTCAGTATGATATTTACAAGAATTTCAGGTCAGCGAGATATCTTAAAGCTTAGGTACATGTTAGTGATATGCTATATATTAGGTATCTGCAAACTTTTTCTGCACAGAGCCAGGTAGTAAATATTTTAGGCTTTGTGGGCTATACGGTCTCTGTTGCAACTCAATTCTGGCATCATAATGTGAAAGCAGTGTAGATCATGTGTGAAAGAATGAGCATGACTATATTCTAATAAATCTTTATTTTATGGACACAAGTTTAAATTTTACTTCACATATCATGACATACTCTTCTTTTGATTTTGTCAACCATTTAAAAATGCAGAAACTATTCTTAACTAACAGACTATGCTAAAACAGGTAGTGAGCTGGATTTGTCCTATGGGCCATAGTTTGCTGACCTGTGGTGCTGTATGCTATTCTAATTGTAATGTGAATTAAAAAACAAAAACAAGACTGACAACCTTGGCAGAAATATGTATGCATTAGTTTACAAAGCTGTATCATTTATTCATTCATTTATTTAGAAACCTGTGGATATGAATCAGTCTTGCATAGCACATTCAGGAGTTTGTGAAGAGAAAGGCAATCATTTTGAGAAAGTCCTTTTTAGAACTATGTGTTCTAGTATTTGAACACAGTCTTTGTTACCAATAATATTTCAGTTACTTATTTTAATGTACTCTTTTCCCTAGGTAATTTCTGCTATTCCTATGCTGTTAATTTTCTGGTTGCTTCCAAATTATAATTCTAGGTTATACTTCTATGAACTCACATATCCAAATTGATAATTCACTTGTGTACTTGCATACCTTATTAACATATTTAACTTAACATGTTTAAAATGGACCTCTTGATTTTCCTCCCCATGACATTTCCCCACTAGTCTTCCCCAACAAATGGCAGTGCTATAGCCACCGCTAAATCCAATGGGGCATCAATCTTCCCATTTCAAACAATACCTAATCCTTTGGTAAGTCTGATAAACTTTATCTCAAAAATGTATCTCAACCATGGCCACTTTTCAGTATTTTTCATGCACTACCTTAATCCAGGCCATCAACATTTCTTGCCTGGACCAATGCAATAACTTCATCATTATTTTCCCAGATTCTTTTCTTGAATTCTTTCAGTGCATTCTCCACACAGCAGCCAGAGTGATCTTTTAAAAGCATAGATCGAATTATATCACTCTCCTGTTAAAACATAGCTTTTTAGTGCACTTTGAATACAATTCAGGCTACTCACAATGGTTTTAAAAGTCATTCTATTACTTATTCTAATTCACCTCTACAACCTCATCTTCAGCTGCAGCCATACAAACCTCCTTTTAATTCTTCTACTAGGCTCAAGCTGTTTACATCTTTACCTGACATGCTATTCAACTGTCTGGAATGCTTTACACCCAGTTCTTCACATAGGTAACTCTTTTTCATCCTTTGAGTCTCAGCTTACATGTTATTTTCTTTAAAAGTCTGTGTAAAATTTGGTTCCCATCACAGCATTCTCCATCATAGCACCATGAGTAGAGGGAACATACATGTTTCTCTCACCATAGTATATGAAATGCCTGGTATAAAAGGCATCAAATAAATATTTGTGGAATGAATAAATGACTCAAAGTATTAATTAATTTATTTAATTATGCCATATGTGGTTTGATGGGGAAGATCAAGTGGGAAATCATTGGATAATGGCATGGGAAATGGACAGTAATTTGGTCATGTGGTAAGATTAAGCATTTATCAACAATCCATAAACTAAAATAATGAACGACAAAGAGGAAAAAATAACTTTGTGTATATGTGTATGTTTTGTTTGTTTGTATGTTATCTCTATAGCGTTAATACAAACCAATTTCAAGAGGATTTATACATATTTGACATATAGTTTCAGAATTTCCAGGTCTTCTAGTAGATTGTGAAATTATGAGTAATTGCCTACTACAGTGTTATTTTTAAAAACCATGGGTCACAAACTATTAGTGAGTTGTAAAGTTAATTTAGTGGGCTATACCCAGCATTGAAAAAAAGAAGCAGAGTAGAAGATGTTAGAGTGTATTGAAATAATAAGGGTATTTCTTCTTATTTAACACATAAATAATGTGAGTCAAGCGTAAGTCCCAAAGCTCTTGGAGTGAGACTGTAAACTTAGTAAGATGGGCCCTCTTGTGGAGGGTTCAAGAATAAGCTCCTCATATTCTGTGCTTGGGTGAGATTGGCCCTCCCCAGGTGCCCTTACTTCCATTTGCAGGGTTAAGAGGAATTCCTAGACATCCACTCTACTTTGCTTTCCAGCATGTTAAGCCCTGACATTATTGTCTTGATTCAACCAGGACTAATTTCATTACATCTTTCCTGCTGTTTATGCCAATCACTGCAAGGAGTCTAAGGTTCCCACATTATCTCCTACTCAAATCTCCATAGTCTTTGCACAGCCCATATCTGTCTCTATCCTTTTTCTCCTACAATGCCTGAAACCTTTTTGCTATGCCCTGTGGAACTAACACATCATTAACGAAATTTCTTCCATTGTTACTCTCTTCCCTCCACATTTCCTTCATCATCTTCCTCTGACAGATATCTGCCTTCCTGAGGGCATTGTTTCTCTTTAGCCTTCCGCAGTGTTAATTGCTTTTCTGTAGCAGCCATCATACACTGGACTAAGTGGTAAATATATGTACTAATTGGTCCTCATTTCCACTTCCAGACCTTTATAAGTCCTTCCTCTCTAAAAACTTTCAGCTTTTAATTTCATGTCAAAAAACTGTATCATCTGCTTATTGAAGCCATCTCCCCTTGTTTCCTGATGATTTTTAGTTCCTGATTTATAATTGCTCCCTTTTTAATTCTTACTAATTTAAATAACCTTTATAAAGTATCTTTTTCTTCACCCTCCATCAGCCCATGTCTTCCCATCGTGTTACTCATTTAATTATAACAATTCTCAAATCTTAATTTCAAGCTTCCATTTTCTGTTCATCTCTCATCTTTCTAGCTCACTTCCCTTAGCATCCTAACTCCAACCATCTTTCATCTCTATTCAGACCACCAATCCATCATTTCTGCCATCTTTTCAAGATCATTACCTTTCGTGTCTCCCTTCCTTATGGGAGGTCAGTCATTATAATCACTTCCTTGCATATAGCCTCAACTTTTAATTTATGGATTGTGTTTGGCAAAAATCCTTACTTTGGATAAATCCAACTCTGTCTATTCTGTGTCTCACAGTTAAATGTGCCTGGAGACAGACAAAATCATGCTGATTGATGTATTTTTAAATTCGTGGCCATGAATTTCAGAGGGCTCCTTTATGTTGTTAGGCAATCATAGTTGAGATGTAAAATGTGTTCCTGCATGTGTATTGCTGTCAAAAAAAAGTTTGAAGTATGTTAGCAAGTATTTAACACCAAGTTGGGAGTTTGAAAGGTATGTAGGAGTTTTACAGTGAAAGAAATTAAGTGAAATTTTGCATGGTTATGGAGATGAAGGTCAGATGTAGCCCAAGAGTAGTTATTCACCCCAGACAGAAGGTTTTACAAAGGAATTCCCTGGAGTAAAAGTTAAGTGACCTAGGCAACACTTATTAGAGACCTCATCCAAGTCAATTCACTGTTAGGCTACAGCTCCTCCTCTATAAAGTCATTGGGTTGAGGTGCTCTCTGTGATCTTTTCTAGAGCACATGATCTCTGAAAACTTACATTGCCAATACTTGTTATTATGATCCTGGAATGAAGTGCGTATTAGTTGCAAGGATAAATTTTTTCAATGAAGAAATAAGTGAATCTCAACTGTGTTCTTATCTATTTGTATCTCTTCATAATCTAAGGAATTTGTATTTTATTTTAACATTCACATTTATGCTAATTTATTTTATATATTATATATATGTGTATATGTATATGTATGGGAGAAATAAGGTGGTTTGGATTCAGTAGTTCTTCTGCATTTCCCTATTTGGGAAATTGTCAAAAGATGAAAACTTAAACTATAATATTGACAATTTCTCAAGAACTATAGGAAAAAAATTAATAATGCACGATCAACAGTCTTTCTGTTTTGTTTTTAATTTTTTTCTTTTTCAGACTGTCTTAAAATCTCTACACTTGCCAAAAAACAACAGTCTTTATGTCCTTACACCAGACTTGCCACCACCTTCATCATCTAGTCATGCTGGGTAAGGTATTTATTTTTCCTGGTAATCTGAAATGAAAAGCTTAATAGTTAAGTTGCTTTAAGTTGTATATAAATATATAAATCTTACTAAAGTTTTAAGTTACCATCAACTATTAACCATATGTATTTTGAAACTATTCGGTTTGGGTAGTTTATTTGTTTGATTTTAGTGGTAGAATTCTTTTTCCAAAGAAAATCTTTAGCAAAACTCCATTATGTAAAAAATAGCCGAAAATTGCACAATTTTTGAAGGGGAAGGACTAGAATTGGAGGGAGAGAATGAGTGAGTGGAACTCCAATTTCTCCCATGGCTGAAGAAGGCATGCCTTTGAGGAAAATTCATTGGGCTCTGTAGAATACAGCTTAAAAAAACACTTGATATAAAATTGTTATTAGTTTCTTTCTGTTTGGTATAGAGAATCTCATTCTTTTAGCAGTTTTCACAGTGAAACTTAGTACACTTATAGAATGATCAAGTTATTTTAATGTTTAAATATATTACTTTATTATTACTAGATAAAGCAAACTGATATAAAGTGAATAATTATGCTGATGATAGAATAATAATTTTTAAGAGTACAGTATCATTCCAGAACTATGTCTGAGTTGTTTTTAGATTTCACAATTTTTATACACATTTTCTTTTTTAATGCAACTTGGTGATTTTGTGTGATAAAGAGAGACCTGTGTCCTTAAACTTCACATACTGTCAAACTTTTCCCCCACCACCTGCCACATATATAATTCTGTAGTGAAAGGAAAAAAAAATCTGTTTTACTCTACTACACTACTCACAGAACACTTCTGGCTACCAATGTGTGGGCTTTTTTTTCCCCCCCGGCATAAGGCAATTCTTCAACACCAGCTGTATGTTCTGTAATTTAAGTTCTGATACTATCTGGGGATAGTATCAAATTCCACAAGTTTAGGGCTTAGTCCCTCAAGACTGCCCCCATGTCAGACAGCAATTGCAAGTCTAGGTTGTCACCTGTGCTTTTGACCAAAGGGCTGTAAATTGGAGGCTCCCACAACCCCCTTCTTGAGTTTGATAATTGGTAGAATGGCTCAAAAAGTAATGACCAACTTACTATGAAACATCTTTTAAAGGATAGAAATGAATATCCATATGAAGAAATGCATAGGATGAGATCCGGAAGAGTCCCAAGCACAGGAGCTTCTCTCCCTGTAAATTTCGGGTTGTGCCACCCTCTTACCGCATAGATGTGTTCTTGTTCACCAACCTGGAAGCTCCCCAGAACCCTTCAGCTAGGGTTTCTTTTTTATAAAAGCCTTATTTACATAGGCATGATTGATCAAATCATTGGCTATTGTTGATTGACTCAACCTTCAGTCCCTCCTACCCAGAGAGAGTGGAGGAGGGGTGTGCTGGCAGTTACAACCTTCTAATCATGCCATTAGTTCCACTGGCAACCAGCTTTCCTGCCGGCTTTTCTAGAATGCACTAACGAATTCAGGTGTGGTTGTAGGGGCTTGTTATGAATAAAAGAATCATTGCTCCTTTTACCTTCATCTTTCTTATCACTTGAAAAATTCCTAGTGTTTTAGCTCTATGTGAAGAAGAAGACCAAATAAATATTTACTATTGTATATCATATCATCACAGGTATATAGTAGAAAAAAAAAAAAATGAAATTGTCTTTACCAAAGTAGAAATCATTGAACTGAAAAAAGTTAAGTCTAATTTAATTGTATTTGATAGTCTGTTAATAGTTTGTTTTAGGTTAGGAATTTAAAGATTACTTGGGTTGCTCCTTATCTTTATATTCAGATGATATATTCATGGGAAGTTGAATTTACAAACTCTTATAAATAGCCAAGTAGTACTTGGGTCTCCTGTTTATAGAAATATTGATATGAACACCAGATGAGATTAAGTTAAACAAAGAGTTATTTGCATGGTTCTGTATTTAGTCAGGTAGAACATTATTTTTACAGGTTAGTTAACAGAGTGTAATTACTGTCATCAAGTATGTAATCCACATAATTACAAGCAGATAGGAGACATCATTGGTTATAATCTATTGCTTTCCAGTAGCATGATTAACTGGATTTATCAAAGTGTCTTCCTGGGCTAATGGAAATGTTTTCATTGCCATGTGGCTGACCTTAGTTTGATTGTAAATTGCTCAGTCCCTAGGCAAACAGGGGCCTACAGTGCTTCTGAAATAGTGTTTATTGGAAAATGAATAGTTCATATATCACAAGTGTAGTCTTCCCTAGTTGGCTTTATGCATTCTTACCAGGTTATAATGATGCTGTTTTCTGTGTTAGAACAAGAAAGATAGCAAAATTCAAAGCCAAACAAAATACATAAAGCACCGAGTATCTCGGTGGTAGGAGGAAGGGCACATAAAGGTTCCTGCTAATGAAAAAGCCGTATTAAGGCACATTTTATTAAAATACAACTAAAAAGCCAACGTGGATTTCCTTTAATGTATTAATCTAGTTTATCTTTCTATGAAACTAGATTTCTATGCTTCCTATAAAAATAGATTATTTCTGGGGGATGATGTATATCTTAAACACTGATTTCATGAAAGATAATTTTAAAAAATCCATGCAGAATTATAAAAGCTAATGATAATTATTTTTGACTTGTGATACTCATTTTGCATTTCAGCAAATAAAAATAGTTGTTCAATATCTTAATTAAATACTGGAGTCCAAAAAAATTTCCTATTGTGTTATATATCATATATTATCAAATATGGTAGACATAAAATTATACTGTATAAACTTCATAATGAATCAAGTTGGTTTATTTTTGCAGAATTTTGTTACAATTGGTGGATTTATAGAAATCTTCTTTGTAATTTATAGCCTGATTTATAATCTAAAAAGGAGAAAATAAAAGGTAATTTTGATTCATCATATTATATTTGAGAATTGTCAAATGAATAGAAGAGTTATAAGACTGGTAGAAAAAAATAAAGTTTCTGGACCATCCCTTTTTTTTTTTCTTTTAAAATTATATATTTTATTTAGATGGTTGGTTTGGTGTTTAATTGGTTTTATTGTTTTATTTCTCTTAAATGAGGCAGTGGGTGTTGGAAGATGGGAGGGGAGTTGGATAAACTGCCTTTTAATTGCAGTGCAGAACAGTGACAAGATCGTGCTGCTGGTTCCACCATTCCAATTCCAGTGCAATGGCAAAAATTACTTTCCTTCTCTATAAAAGTATCAAGTCTTCTCTAAATGGACTAGACAACATGGGTATTAATAGTGTTACTCCTAAACAAAATTTATTATAAACAAATCAGGAAAGTAATATGATTATAGCCTATCTCTCTAGGCAAAAGACATCAAGGTACAGTGAGAAAAATCCTGTATATCAATCCCAGCTTGGCTAGGGCCTTAAATTTTTATTTATAAAATGAAATGAGAAGCATGGTTTTTAGTTACCAGGGTGGTTGTAAAAATTCAGTAAGCAGGAGTGGTATATCATATGAGAAAGCACAAATTACAAAGTACAATAAGATGATTTATTTATGGTAGTAAATACCAATAGCAATCTTTTTCATTCAATTCTTACTTAATTCTTCTAACAGCTCTGCAGATTTTGATACCTCTGTTTTATAGATGAGGAAATTGAGATGTTTAGAAGAGTTTCATGGATTATTCAAGGTCAACAGTAAATACTTCTGACTCTGAAGTCTCCATCTGACTCTCTATACTATAGCTTTCAGATTCTTGAGAGAAATATACAAAGCTTTATTCCAAAGATGTCTTCTTTTTTGGAGGCTGTTCTCTAGAGTGAGATTTCTTTCCCTCAGTCTTATAATTTGTCATTATATACTCCTTACAGGGCATTTATATATATTATTTCACTTACTGTAATTATTCTCAAAAATATTTATTACTGTAAGGGAATTAATAATCATGTAGTAAGATGTAGATATAAAATAACATTCTGTTAAGTTGTTTACTGACAAACAATTTTATTCTCAAGTTTTGGTGAGAACTGTAGATATAGAGGACTATAAACCATGTCCTATAGTTTTTTTTTCTTAACTTGATTTTACCACCACTAGGGGGTGCCTGGTAATTGAGTCTTATTTTGTATTTACAATTTCTTTCTGGGAAAAAAAAGCCAAGAGCAGCAAAATTATGCTATGAACTCTTATAATTACATCTAGAATTATTTTAAAGGAAATTATGTTTTTCAGAAAACAGAACTTCAAGCTTTCTAATAATTTAAGAGCAAACTTTTTAATAAACATCTCTACAACAGTTGAAAGCATTTAAAAATCTTTTTTCATAAATGAGATTTCACTAATTAATTGAAAGGTGAAGCAGTACCTTTATGGCACAACTTCAAATTTTACTATAAACCATAATAAAATTAAAAAAGAGGAAAAAAACTTAATTATACATGTGTCATATAATTATAGGAAAGATTGAGGCCATCAAAGAGTTATTGATTACCTTCTAGATAAAAACAATCTCTGTCCTCAAGGAGCTTTTGACCTATTCATTAAAGGTGTTAGGTTTTTTTCTTAATTCATCTCTTTACAGAAATTTTCCTTATATTTCACTCATTCTTGGTATTCTGTCTGCCACTCAGATTGATTCAGCCAGTGAGCTACTTTTTTCTTCATCTGCTTTAAGGGTTGGTATTCAAGGAGTTCTTTTACCAGCAGTTCTTTTTACTGTGTCTTCTTTCTGACATCTACTCTCAACCTTTCAATTTCCAAATATGTATAGATGATTCAAAAATCTCTTTTTATAAACCCACATCTTAGTTGCTAATGGAGCTCTTCACTGGTGTGTGTCCCATATGTAATTCAAAGTCACATGCCTCTAACTGAGGTAATCCTGAGAATCTGTACTACTACCTTTATTTTTTGTCTCAAATGTATGATGGTGAAGAATACTGTGGTGTATTCCAAGTAGGCAAATGAATATTTAAAAGGCCCATTGAATTTGTCATATAAATAACTGATAACTTTGTTAAGATCATTTTTGGTAGAAAGATGAGAA